AGCCTTGAACCTCATAGCTTCAGATCAGTGCTACAGAGTTCTCAGTCCTGCCAATATTGGCTCTTCCCCCTACCCCAAATTGTCCAACAAACTTGGTGAAAGGCTCTTAGCATAGTTCTGATTCTGTCCGTGGAGGCTGGGGTGGGATGGAGTTGGAGGTGGCAGTCAGCTCTGCCTCATGTCCATTCTCTCTGGTTCTCTGCTTTGACTGTGGCCACTGCTGCTGTAAGAATGTCTGCATTCTCTTGCTGCTGCTTCTCTAGGGGGGAAGGTATAATCTCCTATGGGAGGCACTCAACTTACTGGGTAGACTGGTCAGTCCTCTTGTGGATAGACTAACATGCCCTGTTCACATACTCTAGTCCGTCAACAAGCAGAGTTAAGATTCAGAGGCTAAAACAATTGAAAGATTAACTGCACACCGAGCAACATGCCCAGAGTATGTGAGATGAAGCCTGCACCTTCTCCAAGGATTCTCTGTCTGTGTTTTGGCAGTCCACGGAACATTCAGTACTCTTTGCTAACATCAGAGCTCAAAGGAATCAATTGTTCTGTTGTCTTTATTCGTTGTCCAGCTCTCAAATGTATAGCAAGTGATTGAAAAGACCATGGGCAGAATCAGATGCACCTTAGTCTTTACGCTGACATCATTGGTCCTCTGTAATTTGGTCCTTGGCTGCATACTTCCTCATTGCAACACATCCCCTGATCTCCTCATGCTGATACCACGGGTGTTAGTTGTGGGTCCAAGTAACATGAAATGGTTGACAGTTTTAATCTTTTCTCTATTAAGATGTAGCCTCTCAGCCCTGTAAAGAGAATTTTCATTTTCTTGGTATTGAGATGTAATGTAGTATTTGATCTTCTGCAGTAAGAGCTTCAAGTCCTCCTCACATTAAGCCAGTAAGCCATCTGCATAGAGCAGGTTGTTGATGAGTTTGATACCATATTCTTCATATAGTCTAGCTTCTTGAATGATTTGCTTAGCATACTGTTCCCTTGCACTGTTCTGACAACAGCTGCTTGGCCTTATGTATAGGTTTCACATGAGTACAGTTAGGTGTTCTGAGATTCCCATTCTTCTCAGTGTCATCTCCAGGGGTAGCAGAGTGAATCTGTATGACATTTCTGACTAGTGCAGCGGAGACCTACTGTCTTTTGTGAAAAGGATGCTCCTGGGTAGCGTGGGAGGTTTTCCCTCATGAAATTTGTGAAATGCTGACCTTTGGTTACTCCTGGAAGAATATACTGTTTAGCAGGAGATTGTTAACAATTTAAGTTACTCATCTCTGTGGGCTGAGTGGAAACTCAGGGATGCATTCTTTGATTTTGAATTTTAAAAATTCATATCTTAGCAATTGTTTCAGTTACATAAGAGATGATGAAGACAACATAATATAGAGGAAGGTTGAGGTCTCTTGGGTTGCTATGGGACATATTACTGTAACTAATTATACCTAACCAATGTCTTCACCCATCTGATTTATTCATTTTTATTTGGATTTTTCAGTGATTGGTTTATTGGAGGAAGCATGCCAATTCTTTCTTCCAAGACACCTTTAGGTGGATTTGAACTGCTTGATTAGCAGCTCAGTGCATTAACCAGTTTGTACCACCAAGGGATGCCAGCCACAGAGTTGTTGTTGTTATGTGCCATTGAGTTGCCTGTGACTCATAGTGACCCTATGTACAACATCCCTAAACCCTGCTCTATCCTGTGCCAATCTCATCATCTCTGATACATCTACCCCCATTACCTCAGTCACTGAATCAATCCATCTCATTGAGGGTCTTCCTCTCTTATGATGTTTCTCCACCCTCCCAAGCACGACGTCCCTTTCCAAGAACTGCAGCATGTCCAATGTATGTCAGATGGAGTTTTAGAATCCTTGCCTTCAAGGTGCAGCCTGATCTCACCCTCTCTAGGATGGATCTGTTTGTTCTCCTAGCTGCCCAGTGTTCTTCTCCAGCAATACAGCTCAAAGACATCAATTCTCCTGTCATTTCTAATCATTGTCCATTTCTCTGATGCATAG